GTACTCAGATAACTTGTGATACCTGATTTTCAATACCAGTACTAGAACTTTATCAGGAAAATGTGTTCTACAAAGCCCAAGTTTTCTATTTAACACAACCTCTTGTATGCCTCAGAGTTCAACACAAATCTTTCATTAAAGAACCAAAGTTTAACACTACAGAAATGATCAAGCTCAGCTGACTTATCTCTGACAACACATCGGCCGCTGTGATTGTTAGTTAGTTGGATGGAGTTTGATGGAGTTAGATGCTGTGCCGCCTTTTTTCCCCAAAAGGGTCGTGGTCATATCGTCCACTAGAGGGATCTTTCTGATGCATTAAAGAATAAGGCTGGGGTTTTTATATTTTTTATTGTGAACAAATCCCATCTAAAGAACAGCAGCAACTATGTGCATGTCCATCCCTGAATACTTTCTGACTTCCTGTATGTGGCTCTCAGCCTCGAGCCCTTTGGTTCCTATTTAACACGTAAATCTTTAAAGGTATACTTCCACCGTTTAGGAACACAGCATTCAAATTTGTCTCTCCTTCCTACACTGCAACCCACTATTGTGGGAACACTTGAGCAAGCTAGGCCAATTCTGCATCACTCTTCATGCTCTCCTTCAGTGCTCACCTGTGACAGTGAACGCTAACCCCAGATTCAGTCTCGTTTTGGAACGGGCTTTGTCCATTTGTTGTTTTGCCTTGCTATGTAAGTTGTGTCAGCAGTTTTCATAGCTTCCTCTTGGATGCATGCTGGTATTAGCTGGTTGCTACCTTTTCATATATTCCTGACCCCCCCCCCTGCACTGTTAATGGCTGGGGGCTACACGCCATCGCACAAAGGTTGTAGTCTGTACGTGTCACAAACATAGCAAAACAAGAAGGAAAGTAGGAAAATCCCACTCAGTATACTTTCAACAACAGCTCACAAATAGCCTACGTTGTGTCATTTATGAAAGAAAGGCTCAGAAATCGTGTAAAACAGCTGCTCACTGTAGTGTCTCTCAAACAAACAGGAAATAGCCCATTTGTTAGGACTATGTCCAACAGCGGATTAATCTGCATTTGATGCTCTAGTGAGTATTTGTGGCAGTAGGATGGAGTATGTGGGATTCATTAAAAAAAAACGACTGTGCTTGTGGTCATTGTAATAAAGGAATATGTCACCCAGTGCAACATTGTGGCTCAGCGATGTATTTTTAATAGTTTTTAGGTTTTAAAAACAATATTTGTGGGTAGTAACTCATTGTTGGTTGTGTTTTTTAAACTGGGAATTTGTTTGTTGCAGAATTTCCTTTAAAAGTTTAAAACGGCACAGGACACCTGTGAGTAAGAGCTCAGATTCAAATATGCGTTCTTCTGCTGTGTCTAGCTCTGGGCCCTCCTTCCACTAAGTAATGGACACATTTCCATCTGAGGATAAAGGACTTCTCTCTTTATCTCATGCCAAACGTGCTCCTTGTCATCTCCACACGCAGGAGGCTCAGATAGGAACCAGATTTTCTCCTCTGGGCTGTTTGATTCAGGATTGTATACAACCTGCTGAGGATGGCTCGCTTTAGCCCGATAAAGACCAGCAACAGGCTGTGATTGTTCTGTCCTCTGTGTCCCCTGTTGTCTCCTTGTTGGGAGATCACTTTGTCCTAGTGGGAAGTTTTGATATCAAAAATCTCTATTCTCCTTTCTTTACTTTACTGTGTTTTATTTGGCTGAAGGAAAATAGCACCCAGGCTTACAGGAGTGACATTCACTTCAATTGTGTGTGTGTTTGCTGTAGTAGGTCTGTGTTTGGTGTGTGAATGCCAGAGCATCTATGAGCGTACGTTTATGTGTGTTTGCACAAGACATCTGCTAAGTCAATAAGCCGGGGTTTTCTTTGTGGGTGTGGCGACTGCTGCAAGTGTCAAAGTAGAGTCCAGAGTTTACATCAGACTCTGTGGTTGGTCGCCTGACTCGGCCACTCTGTTAACCCTTAGCTCTCAGTAACTGTTCATTTATGTTTTCATTACTTATTTAATGGAAAAATAAGTTGACAGACCCTGACACAAGGGTGGACTATAACCTTTTAAATGTTTTTACATTAAGTGGATCACCAAAAGAACATACTACATAATATATACAGTACAGGCCAAAAGTTTGGACACACCTTCTCATTCAATGCGTTTTCTTTATTTTCATGACTATTTACATTGTAGATTCTCACTGAAGGCATCAAAACTATGAATGAACACGTGTGGAGTTATGTACTTAACAAAAAAAGGTGAAATAACTGAAAACATGTTTTATATTCTAGTTTCTTCAAAATAGCCACCCTTTGCTCTGATTACTGCTTTGCACACTCTTGGCATTCTCTCGATGAGCTTCAAGAGGTAGTCACCTGAAATGGTTTTCCAACAGTCTTGAAGGAGTTCCCAGAGGTGTTTAGCACTTGTTGGCCCCTTTGCCTTCACTCTGCGGTCCAGCTCACCCCAAACCATCTCGATTGGGTTCAGGTCCGGTGACTGTGGAGGCCAGGTCATCTTCCGCAGCAGTCCATCACTCTCCTTCTTGGTCAAATAGCCCTTACACAGCCTGGAGGTGTGTTTGGGGTCATTGTCCTGTTGAAAAATAAATGATCGTCCAACTAAACGCAAACCGGATGGGATGGCATGTCGCTGCAGGATGCTGTGGTAGCCATGCTGGTTCAGTGTGCCTTCAATTTTGAATAAATCCCCAACAGTGTCACCAGCAAAACACCCCCACACCATCACACCTCCTCCTCCATGCTTCACAGTGGGAACCAGGCATGTGGAATCCATCCGTTCACCTTTTCTGCGTCTCACAAAGACACGGCGGTTGGAACCAAAGATCTCAAATTTGGACTCATCAGACCAAAGCACAGATTTCCACTGGTCTAATGTCCGTTCCTTGTGTTTCTTGGCCCAAACAAATCTCTTCTGTTTGTTGCCTCTCCTTAGCAGTGGTTTCCTAGCAGCTATTTGACCATGAAGGCCTGATTGGCGCAGTCTCCTCTTAACAGTTGTTCTAGAGATGGGTCTGCTGCTAGAACTCTGTGTGGCATTCATCTGGTCTCTGATCTGAGCTGCTGTTAACTTGCCATTTCTGAGGCTGGTGACTCGGATGAACTTATCCTCAGAAGCAGAGGTGACTCTTGGTCTTCCTTTCCTGGGTCGGTCCTCATGTGTGCCAGTTTCGTTGTAGCGCTTGATGGTTTTTGCGACTCCACTTGGGGACACATTTAAAGTTTTTGCAATTTTCCGGACTGACTGACCTTCATTTCTTAAAGTAATGATGGCCACTCGTTTTTCTTTAGTTAGCTGATTGGTTCTTGCCATAATATGAATTTTAACAGTTGTCCAATAGGGCTGTCGGCTGTGTATTAACCTGACTTCTGCACAACACAACTGATGGTCCCAACCCCATTGATAAAGCAAGAAATTCCACTAATTAACCCTGATAAGGCACACCTGTGAAGTGGAAACCATTTCAGGTGACTACCTCTTGAAGCTCATGGAGAGAATGCCAAGAGTGTGCAAGGCAGTAATCAGAGCAAAGGGTGGCTATTTTGAAGAAACTAGAATATAAAACATGTTTTCAGTTATTTCACCTTTTTTTGTTAAGTACATAACTCCACATGTGTTCATTCATAGTTTTGATGCCTTCAGTGAGAATCTACAATGTAAATAGTCATGAAAATAAAGAAAACGCATTGAATGAGAAGGTGTGTCCAAACTTTTGGCCTGTACTGTATATATGTACAAATACATTTTGTTGCTCTGCAGTTGTAGGTGATGGTGAATGGAAACATACCCAGCATATATAGACTACTAACATCACCCAGATGTGCTGATCACTGGTACAAGGAAAAAAACAACTGAGCATTATACCGCACAGTACAACATGACCCAAATGTGCCGATCACCTGCACCCTTCTAAAATGTAGCCTGTAATGACATGACATGACAAGACACAATAACCTTCAGATAATTTTTCTGATGGCGCACTGGCAGAAAGGGAACACTGTGGATAAATGAAAAATGAAAAACGTTTATTTCAGATGTTAACACATTACGAGACTTTGTAAATATAATAATATTACCCAAAATCCTGTTGGTAGTGCGTTTTTTTTACTTTGTTCCTGCTAAAACATAATATATTGCTGTACTGTGCCCCCAACACTGTATACGAGTCACAGAGCTAAGCCTTTGTTTTTATGAAAAATAAATATCCAGTGATCCTTCTGAACACTGATCCTTGAAAGCTGTATCCACACACCCTACTATATAGTTTGCAACATTGACTGTCCCCCATTATATTTAAACGTCTTTCTGCTAACAATCCTACTATGCAATGTGCTGCATTTTATAGTCGTGAAAATTACTTTTGAGCTCCTCTTAAAATGATAATTAGACCTACTATGTGTCCAAAATCTCAGTTACTTAATTTACTATGCAGATATGACTGTATAGTCTGTGAGGATTCTGGAAATACATCTAAAACTGTGGTCAGTGTTATTGAATCAACTAGGTAATTTTAAGATTGTTGTGTATTTATTTTTCAGAGAAACAAGCTTGAATGTAATGGTAATAAAACATGGAAGACACACACTGGGGCGAGGGGAAAGCAAGCACAATAATCATATGTTTTTTCAACTAAGTCATCACAACCCTTGTTCTTTAATGTAAGAGCAGACTGAAGCAACATTTTAAAGGCTTCACTTTGCTCTTTTGCTCTCACATATGTGAAGGAAAAGTTACAAAAAGTGTCTATTTGTTTGGCTGCTGCTGCTTAAAACCTCTGCAGACTTTTGGAGCATTCTGCCACCAACAGCTGAAATGTTTGTGTGTCTGTTTTTTGGCTCTGTGGACACACACACAGAGTACATTTGTTGAGCTCTCCGACAGCAGATTCTGTGTGTTTGGCAGGCAAATGAACAACGTGCCAAACTGTGATTTATGGTGTGCATATTTGTGTTCATGCAACACTATCCTTCCTTCCTTCCTCCCTCCTTCAGTTGACATACGAGAGATCCGGGAGCTGCGGTTGGGGAAGGGCTCCCGTGATTTTGAGCGCTACCCGGAGGAGGCCCGTAAACTGGACTCCGCCCACTGCTTCATCGTACTCTATGGCCTGGAGTTTCGCCTCCGGACGCTCAGTGTTGCTGGTCAGTGTGTATATATACTATATGTGTCTACCTGGAACACCCAATGTGCTTTCACAGTTACTGTCTGTCACATTGACAGGCATGTCTGACCAATATCTGCTACTCTGATGACTTAAAATCTGTTGAACCTTTTCTCTACTATTACTCTCAGATTATGCTTCCACTAACAGAAGAGTTTATGTTATTATAGCATCTTTCACATCACAACGTTACATTTTAGTCATTTTACAACACTTTGCTGTGCTTTGAAATGTAGGTCATGCCAGGAGTTGTTCATGCTACACACACATAGAACATGCATTCAAATATTTAAGTAAGAATAGAATAAAATGAAATAAAATAAAAAATATACATACAGTTGTGAACAAATAAATCCTTACAAACGTAGTATACATCTAGAGAGACATTTTGTTTATGGTGGGAGTATGGGTAGTACAAAAGGTAATGGTATAGTGATGTGCAAAACCGGAATAACAGGAAGTTCCATGTCATTTATATTTGCTTTTGTATGTAGAAAAACTGTGAGTATAATTTCAGTTGCTTTATTCGCTCACTCTTAAAAAAATAAACAGTAATAATTACAATGTAATCCAGTTTCTTTCTGAGATCTTGGAACAGAGTAACATCTCTGACATGCGTCAGGAAAAGTGAGCAGTTAAAAATTGTATGTTGTATGATACTGTAGTCAAGACCACCTTAACAGAGAGCAGGGATGTGCTGGTACCCCAAAGGTACCCCTGATCCATAGTGGGGCCTCCTTGGATCAGATTGGTTCTGACCTGCTGAGGCATAGACACAGGACCTCTGGGGGTATCCTGTGGTATCTTAGTCTGCAACAGTATTTGGGTGTGTGGAGTGCATCAAGTGACATCCTCATGAATGCCAGGACCAAAGGTTTCCCAGCAGAACATTGCATTGTAACGAAATTATCAGTGTTACTCACTTCACTCGCCAAGTGGTTGTATATTTCGCCTGATCGGTCTATATGTGTGTATGTACAAGTGTACCATGAGAAATGTCTTTATAATAATAATATCTTTATAATAATAATCAAAATGCTTTGCAGAGGTGAATTTTATGTGTGGGCATTTTTTCTTTGTTTTCTATGAGTAAACAGAGCTGAAATCAACCCAGACAAGACTTAGTAAAAATGTGATCCTGTCCAAGACGAGACTGAGACCTTCAAAAAGTGGTCTCGAGACCCAGATCGATCTGTAGAATGACAACGCTGATGTTGTAAACATCCATCACAGTTTATAGACTGACATTTTGGTTCAACTTTGACCTGCTCCTGAGAAATAAGGGATAATTACCATAATTTCAGGTGCACTCACTGTTTGTTTTACCTCTGATTAAACTGATTTAGGTAATCTGGCTAAACTTCAGTCTAATTTCCCACTATTCAGATTGCCTGACTTTTAGTGACATCTTAATGTTTCCACATCTTATGTATCACTTAAAAAAAAGTAATGGACAAGACTACAAAATAAGACCTGACTTTCAATGAATTTGAATCTGCATTTAATTGACACATGCCCTCAGTGACGCCAGAGATAAAGCCAATCAGAGTCTGCAGCATGTTCCAGGACACCACAGCTGACGTCACAGATGACAACAATGATTTCACTGAGTCTGTGGTGGATTTAATTTGTAAAACAACAGAAGCAACTGTACCCAAAACAACAATTAAATCATTCCACAACCAGAAACATGGATTACCAGAACCATCCAGAATGATATAAACACTCTTAGTACAGCCTATCTGGATATACAGACAGCTACAAAGCAGCAGCCTACAATGTAAGAGGCAAAAAAAGGACTACATTGCACCATACAAGTTGAAGGAGCTGACAAGATCACATTTCACTGGAGTGTTACTGTGTGCGACTTCATGTTACAAATAATTGATTGAGTGATTGATTAAAGAAGCTTTTAAATAAACATTTATTTTAGCTGCTTGTTTCCTGAATTTGCAATCTGACATTTTTAGAATTAGGACTCGTCAAAGTCAGACACTGTTACACTTTTCTTTCTCTTCTCTGTCTTTGTGTCTTTGCAGCCTTCAGCGAGGAGGAGGTCAACATGTGGATCACTGGTCTCAACTGGCTGATGATTGACACTCAGAGAGCGCCTGCCCCACAACAGATAGACAGGTGTGTGTCGGTGTGTATGACTGTTGTATGTAGTCATGATTTAAAGGAATATATCACTGAATATTTTATCTGTTGAGTGTCAGACACCCACCCCAGGCTTTAAAGTAGTTTGCAGCGTGCTCCCAGTACTGAAACTATTATTAAATTATTTGAGTAATTGATCCACAGAAAATTAATTGGCAACAGCTTTGGTAAAAGTAATTCCTTTAAGCATTGCTTAACTATTTATTTGTGTATTAATAAATCCTTCAACTTGTCCTACATGTCCTGTATGTGTAATAAAGTGATATCTAGTTGCATCAAGAGAAGGAGCGACCTGGAGGTGCTGGTTGGAGGAGAGGACAAATATTTGTGTTGGGATGAAAATATTTACTCCAGATGAATGTGCGGAGGCAGTTTTGGCTTCTGTGGTGCGAGCAGGAGAACAGAGGGAGGTTGTGGACATAATGTGAGCGGTATATGTTTGGAGGCGGTCAGAGGAAATGAAATAGCTAATTTTGTCTGTGTGTGACAGTTGTGTAAACTGTAGATTCATCAGCTTTCACTGGGTCTGACAAGTACAGACTCTTCTGTATCGACCCACAACTTGTTGCTTAAAGTTAGACATTCTCCTCACTTTTTGTGTCAGGAAATATCAACTATTTATCCATTTTGTTTTTCCATGGTTATTCTCATCCTGAAAGACTCTTTTTAATATAAAATGTGGAAACAGACCATTAGAAAATATACAAAGTCTGTAAGCTCAATATTTAAGTTTTTCCAGTCTTACTTCAAATGACTTTTTTAGCGATATAACTGTCTCAGACAAATTTCCAATGTCGCAATAAAATCATGAGAGTCTTACCTCAGTTGATGCACCTACCGCACGCTACCGTAATCTTGATCGTTTGGTGTGAAATGGTCATCAAGCTCGGGCAAAGTTGTCTTATGTCGGTCTTTTTCTCATCTTGCCATTCTGACAAAGTCAGATTTGTTTAATATTATGATTAGTTTTTGGTATTGGTTCATGCAAATACTGAAGTTTAGCTGCACTCTCTTCAGCACCAAACAGGGAGCAGCAAAGTGGGTAGACAGTAAACATGGAGGGGCACAAGAACGTGAACATGTCTCAGTTCTCTTGGACTGTAGAATAAAAGGAGAAACTGGTAGAGCTGTGGAGTGAACAAGAGTTGGTGTTGGGTGTGTATCTGATTGATGAACCACCACTTATTTTAGTGAGAAATCTTAATTTTTGAAATGGTTCACCTCTCATTCCCACAGTGTCTTCCCACTAAACTATAGCAGCTAACCAGTGTAGGCTGGTGGTGAGCTAAAATGAATACTAATTACATACGACACCTCTTACCTTGTGTTTCTAGAGTATGTGTCTTTGTAAACAATTGGAATTGTTTTATCATATCTCTTAAAGGGAGTCTGGTGTAATATTTTCCATCAGGAGCAGGATGGGAAATATTCACAAAAGGAAAGTAGTTGTAGTCTTGTAAATAGTGATCCTGCAAGATCCCCCGTCTTTGCAAAATCTTATAGTGTGTGACTAAAACTAAGTTTGTCTATAGATGTTAGTGGGTGTCAGATTTTCGTCATTTCAACATCTTCTAGTGAATGGTAGGCATGAGGCTGAAATACCAGTGATATTGTAATGTTCATCATTACAGAAATAACATTGTACGGTGTATGGTAATACACTGCAGTTGTATTGTCAAAAATATTGATTAATCAATACATATTGATTTTAAATATTTGAAATGGTTTCAGTAATCCTTTTCTACGATACTCTACACTGGTACCAGCTGTCCAGCTATCTCTCTCTCTCTCTCTCTCTCTTATTGTTAATATTTATTACAGTTATTCTTCTATTTTGTGCTACTAATCAAGAAAAGAATAGCCTTGATATATTTATCTTTAAATTGAAAATTCAAATTTTATGCTCCCATTGTTAATATTTTTTCCCCGTGGTATCGAAAAAGAGTTAAATATCTATATTTTTAAAAAATTGTGTTGGAGCTAGAAATTCCAGTATTGTGACAACACTACACAGCAGTAAAAAAACAATGCTGTTTCTTTATTTACATGTCTCCTACAGCTGGTGAGGATGCTGACTCTTTGCTTGGGATCTGTTAGTGTTAGCCTCAGTCTTTATATAGCATTGTCATGTATATAATGGTGGGCAAACTATTGATTATGCTCAATGCATCACAGCTTGTTTCATGTGGGATGTATAAAATGTTTCTGCAGGGCTCCAGGCCTCGACCATATAGTCACATTTTGCAACCATAGAGCACCACTGTGACTTGCAAATATTATTAATGTATGAACTGAGGAGCTATTTGTTTGTTTCCTGTTTATAGTGAATAAATCTGCACGTTTAACACCACTGTGACTGTTTAACTTTTTGCTAACTGCCAACATCTACCTGTTGAGCGAAAGCTTCAGGTTCACAGCATAACATCAGCACTTCTGCTGCAGTTGAGCCAGATGCTTCAAAATACTTATTTACTTTATTTAACTTTATTAAAACTCTACTTTATTTAGCTTTATTATCACATTAAGTTATCTAATTTGATTGTAACAGTAGTTTATTTAGTAGTAAGCATTATAGCAGTTTACAGTAGTTCAGAGAAGATTTTAATATATTGACATATATATTGTGTATCGCGATACAGCCAAAAAATATTGTGATATTATTTATAGGCCATATTACCTAGCCCTACATGTATGTAGCTAGCAAGTGCATATTTGCGACCCATTGTCAACCTATTCATGGAGCCAGCCTGGGATCAATATCTGATTAAGTCATCTTGGGACAGTCAAATTCGCGGTTGGCAGCTAGAATTAGAATTAGAATTTCATGGGGTTAATCTGCCACCATTATGGTAAACTGCGTATGTTGTGCTGAAACCCAAAAATTGACACCCACTTGAGAATGTTAATGTAGGGGGCGCTAGCACTGTTGAAAAATGAATAATGCTCAGCATTCTTCTGTTTGGTAAATACATATTTGACCAAATACGTACACAAGTCAGAACAAACAGTGTATTTTAATTTCAGTTTCCAGCAGATTAATGAATTTCAGCTTTCAGTGATCACACGTTTTTTTGTTGTTGTTTTTTAAATGTGTGTGACTTCTATTTTTAATTTCAGTCAGACCATTTGGTTTTTGTCATAATTGTTCTTTCACTCTCATATTTTCTCTCTCCATCCCTCCCTCTGTAGGTGGCTGAGGAAACAGTTTGAGGTCATGGACAGGAACCACGAGGGCAGGTGGGTGACTCGCCACAAACATGTCAACACCCATTCAGAGCTTTCACAGCAGCCTGTGATGGATGCATATTGGCCAGTCTGTCGCAGCAGGTGGAATGTGGAGGTGAAACGAGATCCAGATGTCATCAAAGAGCATGTTGCACCCGTGTCAGGAGTGTGTGCCGACCTTTATCTCCACACACATCCACACCCCGAGGCTCCATACATTACACACACTTTCTCTGTCCGTTTCGCTCTTGTGCTCACATTAATAAGTCCAGGCTTCTGTTTGGGTGGAAGCCGCTCCAGGACAAACAGCCTGCCATCGCCTGATAAGGAAGCAGGAAGTGATGCGATGGGCTGGGAGAGGGCAACTTCCTGTCTCCTGTGAAAATAGTAACAGTAACAGTAGCTAGACAGAGGGAAGCGGGTGGAGAGATGAATCAGACCTGGCAGTGATGGCGGTCATTGACCCCAAAGATTCTCTGAGTGTATTGACTTGGATTCTTTTTCTATCTGCTTTTCTCGCATCCTTCCTCACTCTGTTACTAATGGCTGAAAGTTGCATGTGTTTTGCTAATCAGTGAAAGTGATAATCCATCTGCTGTTTGTCCTAGAAAAAAAAAGGCGATGTCCAGGTAGAGACATCAGCAACCTCACAGAAGCAGCTGCAACAACTCCTGTGCAAATATACACTTTTATTGATAAAAACCAAAACAATCTCACCACAAGCTCCATGTCATTGTTACAGCAGATGGACTTTACCCAGCTGTTGTGGAGTTGTAAATGTTAAATTCCATATTTTTTTCTACTTTTACTTTAACTTTTTTGAGTAGGGATGACAAGATCAAGCAGCTGCCAATTGTTATCAGCCGATATTCAGTAAAAATAAGTGATTGGTAGATCAGGACTAATGCCTCCTAGTGGCCGATCGTGATGGGGGGGCGGATTAGTGCTAATACCTTACTTCAAATGAACTCCCGCTGCAGTGAGTGGTGTCCTCATGCCTGCCCCATGCCACACACACACTGACTGAGACAGATTACATTGTGTATTTCAGAGGTCACTCTACACTTACTGTAGGGTACTTGTTGCATTGCTCTTTGGGAGTTCTTTGTTCTGCTGTGTTGATTGAACAGACTCAGTAAAGGCATGTTGTTGACAGAATAAGAAACCAACTAGATTGAGTTTTTGTGGTTCTTTACTTGATATGGTATAGCCACACAGCATTCATAGCTTAGGTTACTCTGCCCCATGGTAAAATACCCAATACAGTCAAACTCACCTGCAATACTGCTACACTAGGTACTATGACAACCGTATTTGCCAATTTAGCTCATAGATGATCAGCAATTGGTATTTGCGCCAAAAATTAAAAGTTCGGGGCGTCCTGGATTGAAGGACTCAGTGTTGGCTTAAAAGTCAAGCTTAAAAGTTTGTTTCTTTTACCTTAGAAACAGCTACACTTTTAAGCCATCAAATTTGAGCATCTACTATTCCAACAGCTGCAGAAACAACATCTGCTGAAGAGAAGTGTATGACATGATCAAAAGCTCCAGGACAGCTACTAAATGGGGTTAATGATGAGATTACAGTATTAACCCACTGAGACCCACATAAACCCATTTTTGTCTTTTTTGTCATTTTTCGAAGGGAACAGGGGATCTTTTACAGGGGAGATAGCAGGTCAACAATATATGTCACATAGAAGTGGTACATGTCACCCGAAAGCTGGGAATGTGAAAATGAAATTAGGATGCAGCTCAGCACTGTGTGTCAAGTTTTCTAGTCATAATTCTGCAATAAACATTTTGTTTTAGTTAGGCGCCTATTCAATTTTTAAAGGTTTTGAGTGTATCGAGCCAGGACAGGATGGTCTGCCGGGATCGCTGACAACCCAGCAGGTCTCAGAGGGTTAACATGGTCTGACATGATGTCTGGAAAAACTGGTGTTTGGTTTTTAATGAAACGGTATTTTTAAACATAACTTATTGTAGTTGAGTTTGGGGGGGACTTGGGGGGGATTTTTTCGGACCTAATTGTATTGCGTATCTTTGCTCTCAAACCAAAAAAAAATGTGATGGCACAACAGTCTCCTTCAGTACATTATTCTATGCTTTCTTTTGATTTTCACATTGGCTAGTCATTCAGTTTAATTTGTCTTCTGATTAAATCGGAACCGTTGAAACAAGTTCTAGAAAGCCTCTGCAAGTAATTGGTTGCTGGCAGACACTCTGTGCTGCATTAAAATGGTTAATCAGCAGTGCCGTACACGTAGAGCCGATGCGCTGCTGGTTCTGCCGGCCTGAGTAGAATATAATGTCTATAGTCTTACTGTTGTGTACAGCCTTTATAGACTGAGCGGAGTAGTGATGCGCGGGTCGACCCGTAACCCACGGGACCCACAAATGGACCTGCGGGTCGGGCAGCAGTGATCGTCTGTTAAATCGGTCTGTAAATGATATTTTGACATTATTGGCTATTACTGTCATGGCATCTGAAGGTACTGATGCGTTGAGCAGGTGACAGTCCGCGGTCGTTTTCAAAACACACGTGTGTCACGCACTCCAAAAGAAACTTGTTTAAACTTTAAACAATAATTTATTGTACAAAACTGGGGAAACAAACGTTGACAAAAATGGTTCCATAATTCATATTAAATTCAAAAGATAACGAAAAAACAGCTACAAGTTAGAGGGAATAGTGATAAAGTGGTAAAACTTGGCATTGATCCACAGCCTCAGACGGATGCACTCAAGCGTGCCGTGGCACAAACTCAGTTGGTAGGTTATACTATATTTTCACATTTTTAACAATGCAATTTAAAAGTTTTGATTTTTATTGATAACCTACATTTACCAACAACAAAAAGACTACATTTAGCACCAAAAAAAATGTAAAAAAAAAAAAAAAAAATTAAAAAAAAAAAAAAGTAAATAAAAAAACGAATATCGAATACCAAATTTTCATAACGAATACCTACCCGTAGAAACGAATATTCGCATATCTGAATATTTGGGTACAGCCCTGCCTGTTGCATGTTTACGTTTCGTTCTATGCATTGTCCTAGGAGCGTTGTCAATAAACCAACTCACCAACAGTTTTAAAGGCAGGTGCAGAGGTGCTTTTGATGTAAAGAAACAAAATGGCACAAGGGGCTCCAGCTGTTCCACTTTTCTAAATTTTGAGGTGATAATGACACGTTAGGGCACATTTATCATAGTATGCACGGCTGCATGTAAACAGGATTATTAGTGGGATATTCATTCTCATCAGCCATGTAAACAGCTTAGTAGGAATATTGTTTTGGGGGAAAAAAAGAATATTTTGTACATGTAATATAGTTTTCTTTTTCAGCCTGAAAATGTAAAATCCAAACAGTGACATTAGTTCTTCAAACCATACAGCGCCATCTCCTGGCCCTTTAATGTTGATGTCTTCTCTCTCTCTTGTTTCTTTTCCAGCATCACAGTGAAGGATGTAAAAGCTCTGCTGCCTCAGGTCAACTACAGAGTCCCCAACATGCGCTTTCTTAAAGACAAGCTGCAGGTCAGAGCAGAATATAAGTCTGATGAGTCTGATCACTTTGTAATTTTAATGTCTCTTACCTGCAGCTCCTCTGCCTCTTTGAATGTCCTATCCTGGATGTTCAGTCTTCACAGCTTTGTCTGCTGTCTGCTATCTAACCCTCATCCTTCCTGTTTACACAGGAGGTGGAGGCCAGGAGCGACCTGTCCTACCCCAATTTCTCACAGCTCTACAAAACACTGATGTTTGACGCACAGAAGAGCGTGAGTATCGGTTTTGGGTTTTGCACACAATCATACAAACTCTCACAGTCATGGAAGAAGTACTTAAATCTTTTACTGAAATAAAAGCAGCTGTATCACCATGAAAGAATACTCCATTACAATATCACAGTAAAAATGCTTATTTGGAAGATTATTCCAGGCAGAGTTTAAGCATCATTTACCAGTGTTGCTGCAAGTTTTATTTTGCTTGGCATTTTTTAAATACATGCTTTGTAAGTTTTGATTTCCAAATGTATCTCCCAACCATTCTAGGCAGCCATTGCTTTCCATCTATGTTTCATAGGAAATGAAAATCAAAAGACCGACTCAATTAAATACCTAAAAGTTGTCTGACCCCGCACAGTGAACATCAACAACAATTTCTGTTGAGCTTGCATTTGCTTTGCAGAGCAGACTCAACAGTGCAACACAATCTGCAGTTAAACTGCATCACAGAGCTATAATAATGTAAGTTTGTCAAAAAAGGATGCAGACTTGGTGTTCACTGCAGGATTTACGCAACTCAAGCAAGTCTCAAGAGTCTGCTGATATTATTATTATAGATGCTAAGATCTATCAGATATAAAAATTCTGTAAAACTCTATATTCTATTGTGGCATCGAGTTGCAACAACATGCCTTTTTTCAAAATTTATTTTGGAGATACACAATACACCAGCAATATTTCAGCATCTTGTCTAATGTTTATTGTACAGTCTGAACCTGCAGCACAGCCAGTAACATCGGCCATCAGATAGAAATATAAACAAAAAAAAAAAGTAAAGGTTGTGCTCATCAGAATCACTTCAGTACTGTATTTGAGTACTTCTGCACTCGCACCACACCACGCTCACTTTACTGTTTATGCTTCACCTGGCTCCTTCCCACCTGTCTGTCACCTGGCTCCTCCCCTTTTGTTCCCAGATTATTGAGCAGCTGGAGCTCTCCTTCCCTTTGCGGTGAGTTCCTCCACCTCCGCCTTCACCTCCACCACCTCCTCTTCCTCAGTGTCTGCTCCCTTGTTCTCACGTCCCTCACTGTTGTCCCTCTACCTTTAAATAACACTTAACTTATCAGTGCCTTAAGGGAGGTTTGGCTCTCTGTTAAGTAAAACATTTCCATGTGTTTAAGCCATTTTAATGTTTTGTGTTTTTTTTCCTTGGCTGAATGTGAACATTTTCTAAACGTTATGGAACATTAACCTTAAAAGTGGTGTAATTAGACCTGGCCTAGGTAGAGTAATGAGCTTAGCTGCCAGACAGGTTTTTTTATGTTTATGTATCATGTGTGCCCTCTCTTTCGGTTGAACTTTTCTTTAATTTTCAATCCTCTGTTGTCTGACATCTTGAAAAATGTTGTGCTTGTAGGAATGTTGACAGACCAGAGCTTTGTCAGATCTCCCTCTACGACTTCCAGAAGTTTTTACAGATGGACCAGAAGGTATTGAGCACATTTAGCGCCACACACAGAAAATGCTATCTTAAACAGCTCTGTGCTGACTTCTTTGTCTGGCTCATCTCAGGAGTCCTGGGCGTCAGATCTGAGTCGTGTCAGAGAGTTCCTTACAGGGTACATGAGGGGCGGACCGCAGTCTGAACCCATGCTACAACTTGATGAGGTGAAACGCAGACATAGCTGAAATAAACTGTGCAGTTTGTCCTTTTATTTCCTGCCTCACAGTGTGAATGTGTTACGTTATGTTTCTAGTTCCTGACATTCCTGTTCTCCAAAGAGAACTCTGTATGTGACCCTCGACTCTCGCCTGTTGTTGCTGATGACATGAAAAGGCCGCTGTCTCAGTACTGGATCTCCTCTTCACACAACACGTAGGTCTCAACATTTGTGTCTTAAATGTGCCTAAAGGTTCATATCTTGTCTCAGGGTTCCATATACTCAACAAGAAGATCTTATAGTTGTATTTAAAGGAGCTGTAGGGAGATACTAATGATTTAAACACACCACATTTTGGAAAATCTGCTCATTTGCCACCTTATTTGCCAACTACTTGCAACGCGCTGTTCTGCAACATTGTAACAACCTGCAGGTTCACACCAATGCAACTAGATGATACGGTGTATCATCTCTATGCAACAACTCTCTGAACTTCCATTCTGATTTCAAGCTTTTCAGGCTTATTTTGTGGCTGAATAGAATTCGTAGCTTCTTAAAATATGAATGAGGAAAGTGATAGTGAGATACTGGCTTCAGTTGCATTTGTAGTAGTGATGAAACGGTGAAAAACAAAAACAGAACGAGCATCAGATGAACTGTATTTATGATGAATACGCCACAATAATGTAAACAACTAGCACCAATTAATCAGTCCGACACCAGCACACCGTGAGGACAGAAACAGAGCGTTTGGCAGGGACTGAGCATCTGCAGCAACAAGCTCAGCCTAGCTTAGTTTTAGTGTTCAGCCTAGTCTAGTTCAAGAACTAGCAGCTGAAATAGAAACTTTGTCTTAATTGCATGTTTTACATGTGCATTTAACATTATTAGAAATAGATATGACACATGGTTTGATGAGCAGTTAGCTTAAACATTGCAGCCAATAAAAGATAGCTGTATGTAGCAGCCTCATATACTTATTAGAGATACTGATACCACTTTTTCCTTCCTGATACCGACAAGTCTAGCATTTTCCCCTGTTTACCATCTTTAAACCAAACAACATCAGTTTTTATTGAAAGTACTGATGAATCAGTTTACTGATCAATAAGAAAAGAACAAACTGAATCAACTGATCATTTTAAACCATTTATTTAAAAAAAGCCAAATAATCTTTGAGTCTGCCTTTTCAGATGTGATGATTTGCTGGGTTTTTTTTTGTTCAGTTTTATTTCATAATAAATTGCATGTTGCATTTCTTTTTAAAAACAAAACAAAAACATTTTATTGACTGAAATGATGAAATATAGTATGAAATGAGATGAAAACCTAACTCTCAGTTAGAATGCAAATAATCTTATTTCCTCTAATGGCATTTTTCATTTTTGTGATCACCACTGCTCTTGTGAACTTGTCTACATGTTCTTGTTCTCTCAGCTACCTGACAGGTGACCAGTTTTCCAGTGAATCATCTCTAGAAGCCTACGCCCGCTGCCTCAGGATGGGCTGCCGCTGCATTGAACGTAAGAGTCTCCAACTTTTGATTTGAACTCAGAAGAAAATTAAATGTTAGCTTTAAGTAGCAGTCCTCTGGGCTTCGACTAAATCTGTGGTTTCTGATCTCAGTGGACTGCTGGGACGGACCTGACGACCTGCCTATCATCTACCATGGTCACACGTTAACCTCCAAGATCAAATTCCTGGATGTGCTGCACACCATCAAAGAACACGCCTTCGTCACATCAGAGTGAGTGGATTAAGAGGCCATTTACTGCAGCAAACATCAGCCCTGCTGGTGGAAAGTTGAACTGTGTTTTGATTTTTTTATTGATATATCATCATAAGTCTATCTGTACAGTGTAGTGTAGCGAAACAGTTAAAATTATGTATTAGCCATGTTTGGAGAGGGTTTTTATAGTATAGCAAAGTGTTTACTGGGTTTGTGACCAATGCCGGCACATAACTATATCAGAGTTAACAATATATTGCCATTCATATTACCTGGTTGGTCGCACACATTTAACCAATAACACCAGAAGGTGAAAGAACACCAACTTGCAGATTTGTTACAGAAGAAAGGGTTATTTCTTTATTCCTTTTAGAGATTAACTCTTCCTGCTGTTGTGTCCATGCAGGTATCCTGTGATCTTGTCCATTGAGGACCACTGCAGTGTGGTCCAACAGAGGAACATGGCCACTCACTTTAAGAAGGTGTTTGGAGATCTGCTGCTCACCAAGCCAGTCGATAACAGCGCAGAGGAGCTTCCCTCACCGTACCAACTCCGCAGGAAGATCCTCATCAAGGTACAAAGACAAACACATACAGACCTCTGTAGATGATGGGAACCACAGGGCGGGAGCATGTGATTTGGGGAGCAGGTGCAGACTCAGTGTAGGTGTCAGGCAATCTTAAGGAGCCATTTTTTGAGGCTACGTCCTTAAAAAGGCTCTGGGCTCTGAATAAGGATACAGGTGATCTACAGCTAACCCACACTCTACTAACTCATGTTCAAGTTATTATGTCACTGAGCAAGATCTCTGACTTCCATAAAAACATGTTGGATGAGAGAAAGTTGGTCTGAAGTCACAACACGGTGTGTGCATGTAGTAATTCTCCCTTTCAATATTCATCACTGTGTCACAGCACAAGAAACTGGTGGAAGGCACGCTTTATGAGGAGGTGACATCAGCCAGCTACTCCGAGAATGACATCAGCAACTCCCTGAAGAACGGCATCCTTTACCTGGAGGATCCCATCGACCACGTGCGTGTGTCTAAATGCTCATGCATCACACATACAGGCAGTGTAGAGTGTTACTGAACTCTGTTTTTTGTGTTATTTACAGACGTGGACTCCACACTATTTTGTCCTGACCAGTAACAAGATTTACTACTCAGAGGAAACGTCTCACTACCAGACAGCTGATGAAGAGGAGGACGATGAAGGAAAAGACGTAGGGAGATGATTATAAATAAATAAGGAAAAAGGAAGTATAAATCACATAAAGATGATGCTATGTTGTTTTTTTTTTTTTTTTTTGTTCATCCCTCTTTTTTTAACTGGTCAGGAGTGTAACAACAACGATCAGCACTGTGCAGAGCGCTGGTTCCACGGGAAGTTGGGTGGAGGGCGTGACGGCAGACAGGTGGCTGAGAAGCTCCTACAGGAGTACTGCGAGGGCGGAGCCAAAGACGGCACCTTCCTGGTTCGGGAGAGTGAGACGTTTGTGGGAGACTACACCCTCTCCTTCTGGTTGGTAACACCACACAGCTACCTCCTCTGTCTTTGTTTTTCAGTAGAGAAGAGAAAACAGTAAAATAAAATAAAAAAAGAAATTAGAGATTTAAAACAATGTGATCATAGCTGCAAACAGCACAGCTCCAATCTTAAAGCCAAAAAGAGATTTAGAAGACATCGCATTTGTCCAAATTTTGTTGTCCAAAAAGTCAATCTGAAGTGAACTGAATATGAAATTAACAGAAAAGAAGGATTAAGTGAAATGTGATCATTTGTCACAAAATCTGATTAAAAGAAACATACACTCAATACTTTTGAAAAACATAAAATAAAATAAACTTGATTTTTTTTAATTTATTGCATGGAAAAAAGTACATGTTTTTCTCTGAAAGCACTACAAGCAACGATTTAAAACTTGAGCAAATTATAGAAATATTAAAATTTTAAATCCGTTCTTGTCTCCATCCTGCCAGATTCTTCTTTTTCTTATTATTACTATGACAGATAAGTAGAGATCATCATACTAACTCCATCCTGTTCCTCCTCTTTCAGGCGCTCTGGTCGGGTCCAACACTGCAGGATCCATTCACGTCAGGAGTCCGGCTCCACCCGCTTCTACCTGACTGACAACCTGGTGTTTGACAGCCTCTACCGCCTCATCTGCCACTACAGAGACACGCCTCTGCGCTGCAACGAGTTTGAGATGAGGCTGGGCAACCCTGTGCCTCAGCCCAACGCACACGAGAGCAGAGAGTGAGTGACCGCTGTCTGCAAAGATGGCACACTTTTTTCTTTTGGTTTGTGTGAACGCAGAAGAGAAAACAGTTCATCAAGTACTGAATGAAATGGTGTTGTGTTCTCCAGGTGGTACCACTCTAGTCTGTCTCGTGTTCAGGCTGAACACATGCTGATGCGTGTCCCCAGAGATGGAGCGTTCCTGGTGCGAAAACGCAGTGAACACAACTCGTATGCCATCTCCTTCAGGTAGAGAACCAACACACTGAGGCTCTGTCACATGATACAACATTGACTCATCTGGTCTGAGAGTTTCTCTTAAAAACCACCAAAAGGAAAGTTGTTTTAATGCCTAGTTTCTTTCTCTCTCCATCTGTGTGCAGAGCGGAGGGGAAGATCAAACACTGTCGCATCCATCAAGAAGGCCGTCTCTTCATGTTGGGCAGTTCAGCAGAGTTTGAGAGCCTGGTGGACCTTGTGAGCCACTATGAGAAACATCCTCTGTACCGCAAGATGAGGCTCCGCTACCCCATCAACGAGGACACATTGGACCGCATGGGCACCACAGTGAGTCCCACACAGCTCCAGAATAACATAGTACAAGTTTGCATTACTGCTGTCAGGTTCATAAAGCTTGACATGAAATCTGGTTTTGGGGCTGCAACTTATAATTACTTTCAGTTCTGATTAATCTGTTCATGGAGTTTCTTTTTCAGTAAATCATCCAGTCTTAAAATGTCATCTTTGGTCCATAAAATACACAAATAATCAATTATTAAAGTTTTTGTAGATTAATTTTGTTGATTTTCCTAATCAGTCTACACCCTAAAATGAATTTCGATGCAATAATGTTAAGACATTAAAATAATGCATCGTTGTCACTGTAATGACTCACATAATTCAAGTTTCATGTCTCTGAATTTTTTTTTTTTTTCCGACATATTTATACAACTGAGGAATGAGGAGAATAGAAATGACTGGCTGACTGTAAAGAAGGAAATCTGAACAATACAGCAGATAATAAGTCTTTCTTGCACCACAGAAATATTCCGACTAGTTAGAAAGTTGCCATTGTATAACCTACATATATGTATTCTGAAACATTTCAACATTAAATTCAACAGTTATAGGTTTTACAGCATCAATAACTGTAGAGGTAACTATTTTATGACATGTATTTGTCAGGAGCTCGACTACGGTGCGCTGTATGAGGTCCGCACTCCTCACTTCTACGTGGAGGCCAATAAGATGCCCACAGCACGGGTAAGTGAGACTGATTTTACAGTGGACTTGCAGTTTAATCAGTGTATGATTATTCAATCATCATATAATTTAGTAAATGATTATCAGATTCAATAACCCATAAAGCTAATAAAGATAGACTTTTGTAATCATCAGCAGTAAAAAGAATGCAACCTGTGGCAGTACAACACATACAGTAAATATGTGCAGTACTTTAAACTTTAGTGGAATTGATAGTGCAATGTGCTCATTTAAAGGGTTGATAGTAAAATTACTGATACTGAAGAAAAGACTTAAGTTTCACCACTGGATGGAAATCTTGTATCTCCACTTTAAGAGACTTGATTGAGATTGACTGTGATTATGAAACTTAAGGTAAAATATGCGTATTTTGCTGCTCTCAGTCAAAACAGTAACAAAAAAACGGAGCAATGTCTTCATTGCAGTCAGTTCCTCCAGGTTAGGATTGCTTCCTTGTTCATCATTCAGAAGGTTTTTACAAGGAGCTGAATTATCCACTGAGCTCTCTTCCTCTAAAACAAACTAACATGGTTATTTAAACCTGTAAAACACTGAATAAAGCAGTTTCACTTTAAAAATCAATGTTTCTCGGATGGCAGGCCCTGAAGCCATGTTGCCACTAATGTTTGCTTAGCTTGTTTTTCTGGTTACTTAAGCTCCAGACATCCAGTCACTAAAATTCTTCACCTGGTTAAAATATATAGTTCAAAATGACTAAGATCTGAAGAGTGTGTTTTAAAAATGTGGCTTAAAATTGGATAAAAAGTCCATTTTTGACAGCTTCCTGCAGACAACCAAAACCCTGACACATGCACAAAGGGGATATGACTCCCCTGCCGTCCATGACAGGTGACAGAGACCAAATAACACAGACTGAGTTCTTGATTAAAATTACAGATTTCTTTGAGTTTGAACATTGTTGGAAACGTTAGGGAGGATCTAAGTACACAACTTCACAAGATACATATGTCCTGTTGTTTTTAGACATTCTAATGTAGAAAAGTTCCATATTATACCTTTAAAGGCAGAAGGAAGAACAGAACTGAGGATGTAAATATTGAAGGAGGACAGGGATGTTTCTGAGTGTGGAAATAAAAACACTCAGAGCCTCTATGTATTAGATTTTATGCTCTCTGACTTTGCTGCCCCTAGTGGCCATATCCTAAACTACACTGTGGAAGACAGACTGTATCCTTTGCTGCTGTGTTTCAGTGTACGGTCAAAGCTCTGTATGACTATCGAGCTCAGAGGGAAGACGAGCTCTGTTTCCCAAAACAGGCGCTCATCCTCAATGTGGATAAGCAGGAGGGTGGCTGGTGAGTGAATCCCACCCAGTATTACAACTTGACTTCCTGTGTGTCTGTTAACCACATAGCAGGGCAGCTTGTCTTGAACCTGTGTTGTGTTTTTAGGTGGCGAGGTGACTACGGAGGAAAGAAGCAGCTGTGGTTTCCTGCAAACTACGTGGAGGAGGTTCCCAGTTCTCCCACCAGAGAGCTGGACGAAGCAGTGAGTTCAGACTCAAATGTCAGGCGTTCAATTTACTCTTCTAATCCTAATCAGTTTTTTTCTCTCATTTTATTTGTGTTGTCTCAGTCTACAGAGAACAGTCCACTGGGAACATTCCTCAAGGGCTTCATCGATGTACCCACCTGTCATGTCGGTGAGTCCCATAAAACAAACAGAGGTTTATTCAGACGAGTAGAGAGGGACTGATCAGGTTTTGTTAGGCTAATTATCATCTCTCTGTTTAGTGGTGCACAAGGATGGGAAGAATTCGCGGCCCTACGTGTTCACAATCCACTCCCAGCAGCTGACGTCTCACCCGGTTCAGACCCTGGATGTGGCAGCCGACAGTCTGGAGGATGTGACCAGCTGGGTCAGCAAGATCAGAGAGGCCACACAGAACGCTGACGCACGGGTCAGTATGACCAAAGTTATACAAACTGAATCTGGGGAATTCTTTTCCTGAAAGCAAAACTACAGCAGCAATGTGACATCTTAAACTTTCAAATATTAGTTTAAAAAAAGAACCTTAAAATTGCAACATTTATTTCAAATTGAATTCTAATAAAGTTTTGAACAAATGCTAAAACTTTAAAAATGTTTTCTCTTCTTTGTGACCACATTGCTGCTCACTCAAAAGGAACCACTACTTTTTACATTATCATTTCTGACTTAACAATATGGTTGGCTTATTTCCATGGTAACAGATGCAGGAGGAGAAGCAAATGGAGAGGAGGAAGAAGATCGCAGTGGAGCTGTCTGAGCTTGTGGTCTACTGCAGACCTGTCCCCTTCAACGAGGACAGTAAGCACCCAACTGCGCTCTCTTGTTCTCTTTCCTCACTGTTCAACAGTTTCTGTGTATAATTTTGATTTTCTGCCACTTCCAGAGATCGGGACAGAGAGGGCGTGTTACCGGGACATGTCGTCATTTCCAGAGACAAAGGCAGAGAAGTTTGCAACGCGCAGCAAAGGGAAACGCTTCCTGCAGTACAACCGTCGTCAGCTTTCCAGAGTTTATCCACGAGGACAGAGGCTGGACTCATCCAACTACGACCCGCTGCCCATGTGGCACTGTGGCTCCCAGCTGGTCGCACTCAATTTCCAGACTCCAGGTCAGTTCAATCAGTTGGCTTTTTACACACGTACGTAGTTTACTTTTCTCATCTCAGATACAAATTCATAAAACTGAATAAAATAAATATTAAATAAATAAAAGATACTATGAAGATATTTTCTTCCTTATCAAGTTTAACAAGAAATTTTTTCTTTGTATCTTAAAGTTGCAGTTACAGAATGTTGTTACCTACAACTGATGTTTTTCAAGATACTGAAATATAGTCTGATTAGCAAATTAAACTCACAGATCACAGATTACATTCAGTTTCAAATGCCTGGAATAAATTGGCCACCAAGGAGAGAGATCAATATACTGAAACCTCCTTATCAGTTTAACATGCAAAGTACATGCTGCATCCCAGTTCACTGATGAATCCAAGGCAATCTTGGAACTCAGAAGCTATTGTCTGACGATGATAACGCCTCCAGGATCAAGGGCCGGTATTGTGGGACATCAGGTGTAGCCAGAGGATAGCTGGGCCAAGACTTCCTCTTCCATGAGCTGGTCATTTTGGCTAATCTCTATAAATAGATGACTGCATGTGAAATTTAAAAAAATAAAATAACATAGAGCTAAATTTGTCAGACATATTAAATGGGTTCAGAGGTTGAATTTCGGTCAGTGTGTGCCTCTTTTGCTTTAAACTTTGACTACTCAGACTACAAACGTAAACCAGAGCACTTCTGATATCATAATCTTGTCTGGTAGCTGACATATTCTGCGTACATATGCCTAGGAGACATTGGCTGTGTGGTGGCACAAACCACACGTGTCTCCAGCAGAAAGTGGACCAGCTCAGTGGATCACCAACTCCATTTCATATTTCCCCACCAGAGAAGCTCCCTGCTCCGGCTAGGAGCAAGGATAGGGAGCCTGGCACAGAGCCTGGTTGCTCCCTCCTTTCCTCAATCAATCAATCAATCAATCAATATATAATACCCATTACATATGATGGATTTACATTTTAAATAGATGATAAAAAATTTAGGTGCAGAGTGCTCACTTTTTAATATTATTTATTTATTTATTTAAAAAACAAAAAAAAACACAGACTGAGCCCTACCTGACCCAGCCAATCAGCACACATTTTCATTGCAAACTCAGTCTGACCCGTCAGGCTTTTTGGGACCTGTCAGTCTCGGGTTTAGAAACTCTAATAACCAAGGTTCAGTCTCTAGTCCCCTGACTGACATACTTGTCAAATGTAATGGTCAAAGTCTCATAACACTGAGGATGTCAACAGCAAGGTGAAAAACTGTGTAACTGTGTGTGTGTGTGTGTGTGTAGATAAACCCATGCAGCTGAACCAGGCCTTGTTTATGCTCGGAGGTGGCAGTGGCTTCGTCCCCCAGCCTGATGTCATGAGGGATGACGCCTTTGACCCTTTCGACAAAGACACCCTACACGTGGAGCCAATCACCATCCAGTTACAGGTCAGGTCACGTCAACCATAGAAAGATAAAAAACAAAATCCTTAGCTTGGACTGAACTAGTCCTGAGATTAATTTTCATTAGACAGTCATGCTGTTGTTCATTGCTGTTCCTGCTTTGCACAAACTGCCACTGTTCCTGGATCAGGTGCTGGGAGCCCGTCATCTGCCCAAGAATGGCCGCAGCATCGTCTGTCCCTTTGTGGAGGTGGAGATCTGTGGAGCTGATTATGACAGCTACAAGTGCAAAACAGATGTTGTAGGTAAGACAGCTGCTGTCTCGTGCTCACAGTGGTGTGAAATCTTGATTTACATTCATGTCTTAAAATGTTCACTGGCTGTGTACTAACTGTCTCCTCCTCCTGACCTCCTCACCCTCCCAGCTGATAACGGTCTGAATCCTGTGTGGGTGCAGAAGCAGTTTGTGTTTGACATCCACAACCCTACCTTCTCATTTTTACGCTTCACTGTCTACGAGGAGGACATGTTCAGTGATCCTAACTTCCTGGCGCAGGCGACCTTCCCTGTCCGTCTGCTACGAACAGGTGAGTGTGGAATAACTCTTACTGATAGTGGACGAGTCTGCAAAACCCTGGTTTACATTTAATGCCATGGTTAAGTGTCAAAAAAATCCCAAAAACAATTATTGGTCTGAGAGAGGAGGCTAGCACTAAAGCTAAGCTAAATTCTTCTTGTTATTTTTTTGGCAAAAACAAAATGAATACAGATAAATATTTGACAGTGTGTTGATTTAGTTGTGTCTTGTGTGTTGTCAGGCTACAGGAGTGTCACTCTGAGGAACAGCTACAGTGAAGAGCTGGAGCTGGCATCACTTCTGGTCCATATAGAGATTGTCAATGCAAAGGTAGACACTGTTTTCATATTTATTTATTAGTATTTATGCACAAGTAGGGATAGAGAGAGAGAGAAAAAAAAAAGAGATGTAGAGGGGTAGAGAGAGAGAGGAATGTCTGAAGGAATTACCCACAATTCATAGCTTTGTGAAGTTAAACATGGGGTTACCAGGGGAGGCCCAGAAGCGGTAAAAAACAAATAAGCAATAAATGAACAAATAAATGGTGAATAGACATATAAGGAGCAACCACAATTAATTAATGATGCTGTTCTGACAAACACAAGTAAACCAGGCATGTCCAAAGTCTGTCCCTAGGGCCAGTCGTGGCCTGTGGACCAGTGTTAAACGGCCGCTGGCTTATTTCTCAAAATATACTGTACGTGAGCTGTCACACAATATTGGTTAATCGAGCAAGTTTACTTTGCATTTTTTCTGTATCTCACGATGACAGTACTATCACACAGTTGGTAGACATGCACCAGAGAGAAGTTAAATGATAACTTATACGTCTTGGTGTTTTCCGTGTCTCACTATGGCTGCAGGAGGAAGACGATGAAAACCTATACATGTCCATCCAGCGGCTGCGGGATCGAACCAGCGAGCTGTCCAGCCAGGTTTCCCTCCTGGAGAGGTCGGGCTCGGGGGATCTCAGCTACCAGCAGAGTCTGGAGGAACTCAGAGCGGCTCAGGACCAGCTGAGTGAGCTGGTGGAGGCGCGAAACCGCAGGTGACTGATCACACACACACAAACACACACTGAAGAAAAAGGTTTAGACGTTGAAGCCATAATTTAAATGTCAAATGTTTTTAGTTTATCTTATTATTTATTTGTAGTGCTGAAACGAGAAGTCAATCCAACAGAAAATACTGATTAACAATTAAGATCAATTATTGTTTGGTTCCAATTTCTCAATTGTGATTTGCTGCTTTATATCATTGTAAATTCAGTGTCTTTGTGTTTTGGATTGTTAGTTGGACAAAAAAAGCTTGTTTAATATGTTTGTTGGGCTGCAACTATTCTTCTTTCTTGATTAATCATTTGATCTTAATAGTGTTAGCTAATGTGGAAAAAATGCCCATCACAAGTTCCCAGAATCCAAGGTGACATCTTTAAACATCTTGTTTTGGCTGTCAGTCTAACCAGTCTAAAACCCCAAAGATATTCAATTTACTATCATAAAGGACAAAAAAATCAGAAAATATTCATATTTAGGAAGCTGGAATGAATGAATTTGTCATTTTTCTGGGTAAAGCTCCAGTAGGCAACATTGTTTTGGTATAACTGAGTAAAAATTTTATAATATCTTTTAAGCATAATGTAAATCAAGTGGTCTGAGACAAACAATAGGTTTCTGCACCTCACCATGGCTCTGTGTTCAGCCTCTAAAGAATCGGTATCGTGCCAATGTGCATCAACCGATTAAAGGTCAGCTCAGACCACTGCGTTCCTATTGGCTGTTCTGCTGCATATGCGCGTTCCCGTGCTGCCGGCAGAAGGGGAGAGCAATCGAAATGGCGAACAGTGCACCAGGTAAAATAGCTATTCCAGCATTGGCTACAACTGCCTACACGGCTAAAAAACCCAAAAAAAAGGAAGACAGAACTCAGTTCCCCAGAGCCCGGAGGGAGGGAAAGTGTGAGGTGGGGCCAGGCCCGGCCGGAGGGCGCGAGGGTCGGCTGTGGGAGCAGAGCCTAGGGCTCTCCGCAGAGAGGGAGACCAAGCCTTGGGGGTATATGTGCAGGGCCATGAGGGAGCTCTCCCTCACCGCGCAGCAGCCTGCCCCATCCCTCCCTCATGGCTCTCCCTCACCGCGCAGCAGCCTGCGCGGTGAGGGAGAGCCGAGGCTCCCAGAGAGGGAGAAATAGAACCAAGTAGGATACTTGCGTGCTCATCTGGTAGGAGGGGCTCAGGGCGGCGACAAACGAACTCAGATGAGACTCAAAAATCAACTGTTTTCAGGCTTTCTACCTACTGCAGCTTTAATTTTGTGTGAAATGTGTGATTAACTTTTTGTTCCAGTTGTTTTTATTCTATATAATACATACAATAATATATTTTATATGGCAGAATATAAGTGGACCTTTTGGAAATTTGGTCACATTTATTTTACATATGCTTTTCCATCTTGCCCTTTGCAGAGTTTCCATCTTAAAATAAGAATTTCCTCATCCTAAGACTAACAAAAATGTCCACAAACACAGGCATGGAATGACACTGTATGGAAGCAGACACCCATACATACAGCAGCAGCTTTCACACACACAGTAATAATTTTCTTCCACTTCCCCAGGCTGATGGAGAAGAAGAGGAGGGAGAAGCTGAGGCAGCAGGTGGCAGCGAAGCGCAGCTAATCCTTCCGTCCATCAGAGAGCACTACACTCACACAAACGGTGCCTGACACTCGCTGCCACCAGAGCTGTGCAGCATCAGCCTGAGGAGACAACAGGCTCTCTGCGGTGGCAACATGCAATCTGTTTATAACTGGAAATAGAAACATGTTCTGTCAAGATAAACATGTGAGACGTTGAAGCACCGAGCTGAATAGCAGAGCAAAAAGTGACGAACAGAAGCATCTCATGGACTAAAAGTAAAACCTCACAAAACTAAGCTATAAAAACAATCATGGACTCATGACTGAAACACATTAAGAGTAAACTGGAGATGAGTTCCTTCTGATGATTTCAGGAAAACAATGTAGACAGAGAGGGGAAGAGTCAAGGGACAGATTTCTAAATGTTGTCACTATGACAACTAAAGCTCAAACAATTAGTTGATTAATCGATCAGCAGAATATTAATATGCAACAATTTTGATAATGGATTAATTATGTAAGTCATTTTTAAGCTGCTTTTTCTCTGTTATGTGATCATAAACTCATAATTTTTGTGTTTTGGACTGTTGGCCAGACAGAACAAGCTATTTGAAGATGCCACCTTGATCTTCAGGAAATATTAACGCTCCAGTGTCTACGATTTAGGAGGATATACAGGTATAAATGGAATATAAAATAGTAATTATATTTTCTCTGGTGTATAATCACCTGAAACTAAGAATTATTGTGTTTTTGTTATCTTAGAATGAGCTGTTTATATTTACATAGGGAGCAGATCCTCATGTGCGGAGTCCGTCATGTTGCACCACCATATTTCTACAATAGCGCAGAACAGACAAACCAAACGCTGGCTCTAGAGAGGGCCATAAGTGTTTTAGCATCAGCCACCGCACTTAGCAGCCCCACCGCGATGAGTCAGACTGTTGGAGAAACACCAATTTTTAATGTAAAATGTCTTTATTCCGTGTTTATACTGGTTTAAATGACCTTTTCCATTTGTTTTGGAGAGGAAGACCCTCTGCGGATCATTTCAGCTACCGTTGAAAACCTCCTAAACATCCGGTTTATCAGAGAAAGTTATCAGAGAAAAAAAGGTGCGCATAGATTAGCAGTTGCTGGGCTAGCAGCTCATCTGCAACATGCTGAAAACTTATTTGTAGCGTGAAACTGCTTTATTCAGTGTTTTTACAGGCTTTAATCATCATCATCATTTGTTACGGAGAGGGAGAGACCTCGGCGGGTGATTTGGCTCCCAGTAAAAAGCTCTTGAACAATGAACACTGACGAATCCTGATTGGGAGTTCACGCTTGGCACATGGGAGAAGTTTCAGCCGGTTGCAATCTGCAGACTCCTCACAGCTAGATGCCAGTAAATCCTACACACTGCTCCTTCAGCAGACCTTTTTGACTACTTTATGACATTTTATCGACCAAACAATCTGTCAGTTAATCGAGAGAATAATCATAAGTTGCAGATCTGATCGTGATGAGTAGGTGTGGTTAAGTTTTAGGCATGTCATATAGTGAATGTCAGCTGATTATCATAAGTGTGTGGTGGGCCAACTGCAACAAAAGTCAACAATAAAGCTTAAACGTGACACTTTAAGCACATTCTGTACAACAGAAGATTGAAGGTGTCCAACAGAATGATGATTACAAGAAAAAAAAAACTGCTTAGAAAAAAAAAATCAATGACTTTGTCCTGTGATCAGGTCTGATTTAACCTTAGTGTAAATGGCATTACAGTGCACCTTAAAAACTGAAGTTTGAAGCTCATCATGTTCACTCTTACTGTGTTTTGGTCTTTAGTAAGAAAAGCAGGATATAAGGGAGAAGAAAACTCAGGTTACACAAATGGATGGAATTAAACTATCTGGATGGAAAAGAAGGGAGCAGTGGGCACATGTAGCAAAAAAGTTAATATCATGTATGTGCCTTTGATGTGTTGCGCTTTGTAGAGTATAATTACTCAAAGAAAAAGAAAACTTTATCTACAACTGGAATAGTGGCCCTTTAAGGGAAAACTACTAACAAACTGGAGGAGGAATCGTTTGGCTCGGACCACTACTCATGAAATGGGTTGAAAGGGATTCAAAGACTGAAGTCTGTTCTGCCTAATCAAGACCAAGTCCTTTTATTTGGGTGACCACATGAACTCTGACCCCAGGTGGCAATGGGCTCCTGACACATAATGTTCCCGTTCTAACTGGGAGAGCACAAACTGGACGAACAAATCCTCACCAAACCACACAGAGAAGATCTTTTAATACTTCTTCAAAGGGCTCTAAATATATCTGTACTACCTTCAAAGAGGCACAAGAACAGCGAGCGGGGGAGAGAGGAAGACCACAATCCTCACAGTGCCCCCTGGAGGTCACCTGCACAGGGGCTCAGGTGTGTTTGTGACAGCGGGACACACACACACACACACACACACACACACACGACAAACAAGGGCTATCAAAGGAAACAAGCAAAGTACTCTTATGTCTTGCCTCACATCTGAACCACACGACCAGGATCAGTTCCCATCATCTGGCTCTAATCAACAGATGTGGCTCAGCTGGTTCTGGATCTGCCAAAAAGCAGCTTCAATCCGATCCACTGCATGGCTTCATATCTAATAACGCCCCCTCCCCACCTCTGTAGCTACCCCACCTTTCCATCATCCTCCTGTCTAATTTCTCGTTGTATATAACTTTTATTTATCCAGCAGGTATAGATCCTGTTTCAATAGATGGATAAACATACTAGAAGAATGATAATGGACTTCAGATTGAAGATAATTTTATGTAGAAATTATTTGTGTCCCTTTAAATGTCTCCATAGACATAAACCCCTCTCTTTCCCCCTACGCTGCAGTTGCACTGGGTGGGGACTTCTATGCAAAGGTCATCATCTTGGCCTACAGCCATCATGTGTATTAGGCAATTTGACTCAAGTTGTGTTTTCTCTCCGTATCTATGCTAACTGTCCAGTATTATTACTCTGCATTACAAATCCTGTGCAAGTTTCCATTTAATAAAGCTCTTTTGTGTATTCCTTTCTGCATTTGTCTTTTTTAAACACGTGACGTAAGCCAGCAGAAGCAGTGGCCTCAGCATAGTGAGGAGAGTGATCAAAAGTTGACACTTAAACAGACAGATGAACAGCAGTTTTGAAGATTTTATGTCTGACAGGGGTTTAAAGGGTAACTTCAGAATTCTTCAACCTGGACATTATTTTCCTGTGTTTCTGTGGTGGGAACATGGGAACAACATTTTTTTTTTTTTTTTATATCAGTCCAGTATTGAGAGAGAGAGAGAGAGAGGGCTGCAGCTGGTAGCCCAGAAAAGGGGTGCAATGCATTTAGCACTGGCAATTTACATCCACCAAGAATGCTTGACAGGCTCAGATTATGACTTAAAGTGTCTGACAACATTATGGAAAGGATCCCTACAGAGATAAAGAGTAAGATCCTTCTTGTTTAACCAGTCAGCCCCAAAATCCCATTGGCCAAAGCCACCAGACCCTATTTAAATTAACAGTAATTTTATCATCATAAAATGCACATCATTCAAAGTCAGTAGAAACAAACTTAAACTCAAAACTAAAACTGCCACCTGGTGGTTGTATACCTCTGTGAATCTGTCACTTCTCAGTTACAGTTGACATCCATGCCTGTCCAGACTGATATGCAGTCACGGCAGCTGACAATGCTTCATATGTTGCTTCAAAGAAGTTAGAAATTTTGAAATGTGGATGCTTCTGACACATCTTCAACCTGGCAGCAAAGAAGATCTACGCAATCAGCACATTTTTAAGGTGATCACTCAAGACTACTGTCACCAATTCAGTATCTGATCAAATGTCTCCCCTTCTGTTCCTGACTTATGGTGTTGAATAATGACCAGAAAAGTGTTTTTACAGAACTACATTTAAACCCATTGTACACAGGTATTACAGAGGCTCATGAAACATAGACAGATGTGGCAGAGCCTTCTACTTTGCAGAGAGGTGTGATGGAGGCTCCTCCCAGACAGACAGTCCTGATACGCCTCCTATCACACAGGCTCCAGTAACCATGGGTTTGTGTAACAAGTGTCACCTGTCACAGCTGTACGGGCGCTACTGGCTGAACTCTGCAACAACAACCTCCACAGCAATGGGCCATTGGACAAGTCACAGCAACAGAACAAGTCACAGCAACAGGACAATTCACAGCAACAGGACAAGTCACAGCCACTGAACAAGTCACAGCAACAGGACAAGTCACAGCAACAGGACAAGTCACAGCCATTGAACAAGTCACAGCAAGAGGACAAGTCACAGCCATTTAACAAGTCACACAGCAACAGGACAAGTCACAGCCATTGAACAAGTCACAGCAACAGGACAAGTCACAGCCATTGAACAAGTCACAGCAACCAGACAATCACAGCCATTGAACAAGTCACAGCCATTGAACAAGTCACAGCAACAGGACCAGTCACAGACATTGAACAAGTCACAGCCACAGGACAAGTCACAGCCATTGAACAAGACACAGCCACAGGACAAGTCACAGCAACAGGACAAGTCACAGCAACAGGACAAGTCACAGCCATTTAACAAGTCACACAGCAACAGGACAAGTCACAGTGATTGAACAAGTCACAGTAACAGGACCAGTCACAGAAACAGGACAATTGACAGCAACAGCACAAGTCACAGTAACAGGACAAGTCACAGCCATTGAACAAGTCACAGCCATTGAACAAGTCACAGCAACAGGACAAGTCACAGCCATTGAACAAGTCACAGCCACAGGATAAGTCACAGCAACAGGACAAGTCACAGCCACAGGACAAGTCACAGCCATTGAACAAGTCACAGCCACAGGACAAGTCACAGCCACAGGACAAGTCACAGCCATTGAACAAGTCACAGCCATTGAACAAGTCACAGCCACAGGACAAGTCACAGCCATTGAACAAGACACAGCCACAGGACAAGTCACAGCCACAGGACAAGTCACAGCCATTGAACAAGTCACAGCCACAGGACAAGTCACAGCCATTGAACAAGTCACAGCCACAGGACAAGTCACAGCCATTGAACAAGTCACAGCCACAGGACAAGTCACAGCCATTGAACAAGTCACAGCCACAGGACAAGTCACAGCCATTGAACAAGTCACAGCCACAGGACAAGTCACAGCCATTGAACAAGTCACAGCAACAGGACAAGTCACAGCCATTGAACAAGTCACAGCCACAGGACAAGTCACAGCCATTGAACAAGTCACAGCCACAGGACAAGTCACAGCCATTGAACAAGTCACAGCCACAGGACAAGTCACAGCCATTGAACAAGTCACAGCCACAGGACAAGTCACAGCCATTGAACAAGTCACAGCCACAGGACAAGTCACAGCCATTGAACAAGTCACAGCCACAGGACAAGTCACAGCCATTGAACAAGTCACAGCCACAGGACAAGTCACAGCCATTGAACAAGTCACAGCCACAGGACAAGTCACAGCCATTGAACAAGTCACAGCCACAGGACAAGTCACAGCCATTGAACAAGTCACAGCCACAGGACAAGTCACAGCCATTGAACAAGTCACAGCCACAGGACAAGTCACAGCCATTGAACAAGTCACAGCCACAGGACAAGTCACAGCCACAGGACAAGTCACAGCCATTGAACAAGTCACAGCCACAGGATAAGTCACAGCCATTGAACAAGTCACAGCCACAGGACAAGTCACAGCCATTGAACAAGTCACAACAACAGGATAAGTCACAGCCATTGAACAAGTCACAGCCACAGGACAAGTCACAGCCATTGAACAAGTCACAGCCACAGGACAAGTCACAGCCATTGAACAAGTCACAACAACAGGATAAGTCACAGCCTTTGAACAAGTCAGAGCCACAGGACAAGTCACAGCCATTGAACAAGTCACAGCCACAGGACAAGTCACAGCCATTGAACAAGTCACAACAACAGGATAAGTCACAGCCTTTGAACAAGTCAGAGCCACAGGACAAGTCACAGCCATTGAACAAGTCACAGCCACAGGACAAGTCAAAGCAACTATTTTCTTCCAGGTGAGTTGTAAGCGCTCTAAACACAAGGTACATATGTGCACCTGATGTATCATTACTCTGCAAAAACCAGTTGCTCCAAATCATACATGCTAAATTACAAAGCACACTCATCTGTGATGACACTATTGGTTGATAAACTCACGTGAAGAGATGGCTGGGATGTTGGCTTTGTGCAGTTTGGTTCACATCCAGT